TGTAGATGTGGTAGTTGTTGTTGTAGATGTGGTAGTTGTTGTTGTAGTTGTTGTAGATGTGGTAGTTGTTGTGGTGGTGGTGATTGTTGGCCAGTACAACCACACTCGGAAGACTGTGTCTTTTCTGATATGGTAATTCAGCAAAGCTTCTTTTCCTATCAGTGAATTAAGGTTGAGAACTGTAGATTTATTGCCATATTTTTATTTTGCCCAGCACTGTTGCAGTTTTAAAGCTTCCAAAGGAATAGAGGTTTTAATTTTAATGACTTTTACTTAGTTTCTCTTTTTATGTATCATGTTTCAAATATCAAGTCTAGGACCCTAGATTCTGAAAAATTCAAGTTCTGTATTTTAGACCCAAGTCCATACTCTCTGTTGAGAATGTAAAACATGAGGTTTTGATTGAGAATTATTCTCTTATTTACTTATTGACCGTGGATAACCAGTTGTTCTAGAACTGTTGTTGAAAAGATTATTCTTCCTACACAGAATTGGTGGTATACCTTTATCAAAAATTATTTAGAGAATTCCCATGGGGCTGTTCTGGTTCTGTACTCTGTTCCACTGAACAGACTCTGTGGGTCTCATTTTGCTGCTAGTACCAACTTTTAGATCTCTGTTACTCTATAAAAGATTTAATATTAGATAGAGTGATTCCTTACACTTCATTCTTACATTTCAAAATTGTCTTAGCCAGTTCAAAGTCGGTGTTTTCCAATGTAAATTTTGTGATTAATTTGTGCCTTAGTTAGGATTTCTATTGCTGTGGTAAAATATTGTGACCAAAACAGCTTGAGGAGAAAGGGTTTGTTTCAGCTTATAGTTCCATGTCACATGCAGTACATCACTGGTGGAAGTCAGGGCAGGAACTCAAGGCCACACCAAGAGACAGGAGGAGTGCTGATTACAGGGTTGCTTCCCATGACCAACCTGCCCAGGGATGGCACAACTGACAGTGGGCTAGGCCCTCCCACATTCATCACCAGTCAAGAAAGTACACTACAGACTTGCTCATGGTGAGTGTTATGGAGGCATTTGCTAGGTTAAGATTTCTTCTTTCCAAATATGTCTCTAATCTCTGACAAGTTGACATAAAACTAGTCATCATAGCTTGCCTTCTGGGATTGTGGTAAAAATTACATAAATATAAAATTTTGGGAGAACTGACATCTTTCCTGTATCGAATCAGCAATTCCATGAATATATTATATATTTCCTCATTTAATAGGCCTTTTTAAGATTCTTTTGTAAGCATTCCATAATTTTATGAATATAAATTCTTCCTGTGTTCTGTTAAATTTATCCTATTTCATTTTCTTTGACAAAATTGGAAATTTACTATTTTAACTTTCAGTTTCCTCGTATTTATTGCAATGAAAATTAGACATAGAAGTGCCAGTGATTTTTGCATGTTGGTTTTCTATCGAATGACCTCGTCAAGTTCATTTATTCTGAGTCTTATTTGTGGCTTAGTTACTTGTCATTTTTACATAGATGATTTGTGTCATCATCTGCAAATAGATCTATTGCTTTCTTTTCAATATGCATGGCCTTTTTATTTTCTGGAATAATTCCTCTATGATTTGTTCTATAAAAGACCCCAGGGAGAAGATGAAAGGCAGGCTAAAGATTAGGAGAAAATAATTTCAAATTATGAATCCAAGAAATGCCATGCATCTGGAATACATAAAGAACTCTGAAAAACAATGCTTGCCATGCCATAATGAGGACCTGAGGTCAATTTTAAGGCCCACATAAAAAGTTGAGCATGATACCACTCATTTGTAACCCTAGCATTTCAGAGGCAAAGACAGGTGAATCCCTGTAGATCATTGATTAGCCAATCTAGCCTAATTGATGAGACCCAGGTCCTAGAAGGAGTCTGAGAGCGGATATAAAACATGAGGGATTATAGTTGAGAATCTGAAGACATGATGTCATCATAGCCCGTGTTCCATGCCTATCCAGTGCTCGCACCACACTGACTTTCCAGGTGAATCCTGTGCTGCAGTTGGGCCATAGGCTGCTCGATAGGTTGCTCTCCATAGAGCTCACTACCAGTGCCCGGTGCAGAAGACTTCCTAAATCCTAATCTATTTCCACACCATGTCATTAAGAACCAGCAGCAGACCTTTGTGACTGGCAGTCTGGCCACCTCTAGCTGTCAGGAGCACACTATAGTGTAAGTGAATGTTGCCAAAGGTTTCTGTTCGAATCAACATGGCTCTTTATTTAAGAAAAATACACGCTCATGTTGTCAAGGCAAGTCTTCTAAACTTGTCCAGAATTATCCTGCTGCTTTCAGGCTTCCCTGTGGTTAGCATAAAGGGAGTAAGTTTGTTGAGAGTGTTCTTCCTCATAGATGATGGTTTTCTTCTTCACCTTCAAAAGCCTGCTAATACAAGTCTTTCTTATTCATTAAGCTGGGCTTTAAGACATAATGTGACTGGAATAGAGACCTTTCTAGTTACCTCTTGACATCTCTTTTCACTAGAAAGAAATATAGAGTACTCGTTTGTCAACCTGTGAGTTTATTTTCCCCATCTTCACCTCATTTCAGTTCAACATTATGAGCATAGTGACCCAGATGAGAAAGCAGCGCTGCGGCATGATCCAAACCAAGGCAAGTGCTCCCTGTGTAACATGACAAACTGCAGAAGCAGTGTAGCTAATGTATAACTAAGTTTCTAGACAGTAGTTTGAAATGTGAACTTGCCTCTATTTATGTCTGTCTGTCTGCCTGTCTATCTGCCTGCCTGCCTGCCTGCCTGCCTGTCTGTCTGTCTATCTATCTGTTATTGGCACATTATAAAAAGATATTTTTATATCACAGATTAGTTTGCAATTGCCAGGAGAAACAAAGAGAATATTTATAATAAAAAAGTTGCCTCTGAACTGATATGTATACTATGTATAATATGTCTATATAAGTAGAGATATGTTTGGGTATGTAAACATATAACAATTATATACATTTGAAATGTTAAAATTAGTGTGAGAGACTTTTTAAATTAGGGTTAGATTAGCTAGAGAAGATATAAGGAAGTGGATGCTGACAGTTTCCTTCCCTTTAGAATCTCTGTTAAGGAATCCTAGGCCAAGACATTTATTTTCATTATTGATGTTCTTCATATTTAAAGTCCGTACCTGCATAAAGAAGTTCCTAAGTGTTTGTAAAGAAACATTTGTTGTTGGAGGAAAATTTTCTTATGTGACCAAAGAAACGTGCAGATGTGGTCTCCCAAAGGAGATCTTGGGTTCTGCTCACTTACCACTGTGTCATTCATGTGTGTGTGTGCAGGAGCAGTATCAGTTTTGTTATGAAATTGTGCTTGAAGTTCTTCAGAATCTTTTGGATTTGAGAGAGACTTCTGCGCCTGTCACTTGAGATTACCAAGCAGCTTGGAGCCTGAGCTGTGTTGAAGCGTCTGCTGGCCATTCAGTTTGCCTTCTGATTTTCTCTCTGAAAGTCCCTGAGGGCAGCACCATTAGGCACAGAGTGAACTGTTTCACTTGATCTTTCTGGACAAGAGCAAAATACCCTCTATGCCTTCTACTGAAACTAAAGTTATATGAAACAACCTCAGCTTAGCCGTCTGGCTTGTGGTATTAAAGAGTTTAATAAAAAGATTTAAATGTATTTGTTAAGATTATATTTGGAAAGGTGGCCAAAAGCCTCAGATAATTTCCAACACTGTACAAACCCTGCTCTGGGAGAACATGGCACAATAACCTGCAGGCTCACAGACTGACCTCTAGTGGGCATTTCTCAGACATTTATCTATGTTCTTTACAGAAGCTAGAGTCTATACTCCCAGCTGGTAACTGAATAACTCAAAAAGACTCTAATGAGGATGGACTGACTTTTGATATAAAATGGTTTTCATGTCCTATACTTCCATGGTTCCAGAGTATCCTAGGGATTTTGAAAGAAGAGCTGCTTTCCTGGAGCAGCAGTCAAGCCCTTGTCTGCTGCTCTGGGAAGCACCTTGTAGGTTAATAGTGTCCCTCCTTAGCACCCCCTGAACACACTGGTGAACAGTCCCAAGCTAAAATACACATCCATCTGCAAATTCAGTGGAAATGTTTGCCAGGCCCAACCAGATTTCTTTCCTTTCCTGTTCTAACAGTTAACATACTACTCCATCTGCTTTATCAGAAGCAAGCATTCCATGTCACTTGCCTCTTGATCTTTAGCTAACCCATAAACTTTAATATAATGATATTGCTATGTAAGTTTGAGTCTTGGTACCTGTTGTATCAAGTTTTTTTCTTTTTTAACTAACATCTAAAAAAGATATTTTTTCCTCTAGAGGACCATTAAGTCATTTCTTTCCTCTATAGGAATATTTAGATGCTGGACATTGGACTAGATTTTTGAAAACCAAATTCATAGTTGTGAAAGTGAAAACTTCTATATGCTTGTTAAGAAAATTCTAGCCATTGTTTCATTCATTATATCAGGATTCTGCCTCAGACAATTGTAGTGATTCTTTGTTTGAAGGTTTTCAGTGATCAAACACTCCTAATTATAAGACACAAAGAAATTGACAAGTGTATTTGTACAGTGAATTCAGTAGCGATCAAAGCTGTGAATCATATTGAAAATTCCTAAAATTGTAAATGCTAAACTTTTAAGAGGCTTATTTCTTTGGTTAAATGAATACTTGAGTTGGTTGAATTAAAATTGATAATTCTCATTTTAAAAATAATTATATGCCATACATTTGACATTAACTCAAGTTGATGATTATAGCTATTTATACTGTTTATATGCATAATAGTCTGTGCTGAACAATAATATCATTCTGATTATTGGTCATTAACATTTGAATCTGTAACTGTATTTTCATTCTGTTACTATAAAATAATAAGTATAATATAGAACAATGTTCCCAACATGGCCTGTATGTTGTTATTAAATGAAAATATTTACTGTGCATTGCCTGGAGTACTTTAATTTATCAGGATCTTGTGATTTCTTGTGAAGAACCCATCCCCATGTCTTATTGAGCATGCCTCCTCTTTAAGGTGTGTCATGTTTTTACAGCTAAACTATTTTGAGTTTTGCAGAGAGTTTAAGTAAACATGGAAATACTGGCCGCATTTGTTTTCATTTCATTCTTGATGGTGAATTTCAAAGCAAAAACTTTGGAGAGCTTGAAATCCTAACTTCTACACTAGTAGTGAATAATTTTCTACCTCAGATGTGAAACCATGGTGAGGATGTTAACAGCTGATTTAAAGAAATCTTAAAGATATTTAAATATAAGCATAAGTAACTTTCAACTTCAAAAAAAAATTTAATGATGCTTAAGTGTTAGTCCAAGACTTTTCAGAAATAAGTATTACATATTTTACCTCCACATGAGTTTTACTAATTTATTTTTCTTTGGATCTTTTTACCTGATCTCTGTGGAACATTCAGCTTCCAATGGAATTTACATATATGACTCAAAGTCCATTTCAATGATTTATTTTATTGAAAAATCTCAAAGGAAAGCAGCTTGGAAGACCTAAAGTGAAAGTTCCATTTCCTACTTAGCTTTTTCTAAGTCCTGGAAAGACTTGATTTTTTTCTGTGTTATTTTGAGATTTGAATAGCTAAAGTAGAGTTGTATGTCTTAGTCAGTGGACTCAGTGGGGAGGGAGAATGGCTCAGAGCTCTTAGTCTACAGCTGTGATCCAAAAGTGGGAGCAATGCTTTCATTAGAAAGCAGTCTGAATTTGAAGGTATCACACAGAAGCTACTCAATCCAGCCGTCCTTGCTGAAGGTTGAAAATGACAAAGCTTTTTAGAAAATCACATCATATTTGAGGGTGGAGAAGGAGAGCCCATTAACACAGCCACCAGCTGTCACGTAGGAGTTATCTGGTAGCTGCTAAGAGTATGAGAATACATGGTACAGTCATTGCTATTAGTATTAGAAAGGTAGAAAAAATTACTTGTTTACCTTCATAAAAAATAGTTTACTGAAAATAATACTAGAAATTGTATCTCAAAATCAGAGTTCAAGGTACATTTATAAAATTTACTCTTTCTCTATAGCTACTCAGCTATGTATGGATAGCATAGTAACCATAGCCTGCCTCCATCCCTAATGCTGTAGGCTCACTTGCTTCCACGTTATTATCTACAGCTGCTTTTGCGCTGCAATAGAAATGTCTGTGTTATTCGTCTTTTCAGGGACCATGGGGCTCATGCAGTCTAAAGTATTTACTTCCTGGCCCATTTTAAAGGGGAGTTTTGCTAACCCCTTTATATCAGCAACAGAGATATTAAACATAGAATAACACAATGGTAGTATAAAATCAGACACAGGCATGGTGGTACGTGCTTTAACCCCAGCACTCAGAAGGCGAATGCCTGTGAGTCCAAGGCCAGCCTGGTACACATAGTGAGTTCCAGGCTAGCCAAGCCTAAACAGTGAGACCCTTTTTCAAAACCCAAAACAACTTAAGATTAAACTTAATAAGAACTGAGTAGGCAATGATTAGGTTCTAGATAAACAATAAATTCACTACAGAGCCCAGACAGTTTTGAAAATGAAGAATTAATTGAGGGGAAAGGAGAGTAATCAAATTATGGTGAAAAAGTCAAAGTGTTTTAAACACTGTGGTTCTGGGCAGGAGCGTAGCTCAGTGGTAGCATTTGTCTAGCATGCTTGAGGCCCTGAATTTGGTCCATCTTGCATACACTTGAGTGGATGCATGCCATGCTGCAGTGTGCATGTGACAGCCAGAGGACAACTTCCAGCAGTCAGTTTTCTTCTTTTACTATGTGGGGCCCAGGGACTTAACTCAGGTCATCAGCCTTGGCAGTTAGTGGCTGTAACTGCTGAGCCAACTCACTACCCCAGATCTATTTTGTATTTTTAAAAAATACGTTTTATGTTCAAGTTATTATTTGAAGCCTAGAACTTAACAAAGCAAATATAGTAGATCTGATAATACTAAAAGATATATACTAAAAGACAAATATACAGTTATGTTTAGAGAGCTCAACACTTGTCTTAGTAATTATTAGGATAAGAGGGAAAAAATTGAGAGATATTGCTCAGATATTGCTCAGATCTGGATTGTCAACCAGATCCACATGCTATTTACAGGACACTGCACCAAATTATAGCAGAATATGCTTTCTTTTGAAATGTGCAGGATATTCTATAAGCAAGATTTTTATATCTCAGTAAAATTTAAAAGAATTAAATATTAATATATAAAGTATGCTTATATATTAACTAAAATAATAGTTTTCAAAAATATTGAGAGTATTTCTTTCTTTATTACACTTATTTTCCTGAAGAGGGCAATGCGTTGTGTCACCATATGAATGTGGAGGTCAGAGGTCAACTTGTAAAGGAAGCAGATTCTCTGCTTCCATCATGTGTGTCCCAGAGATCAGAGTTGGCAGCAAAAGCCCCTACCTATTAAGCCATCTCACCAGCCCAATATATATCTGTGTATTTCTAAATAACCCAGAAGTCAAAAGGGAAATTAAAAGAGAAGTTAAAGAGTATTTCAAACCAAATGAAAATAAAGCTTTTGAGATATAAGATAATCAGGAGTGAAAATGGTATATTTGGTTTGAGTTCTGCTGTACTTTATACCAATGAGATCTCCCTCCCGTTAGCTGTTTTAAACTATTCCCAAGCAGAAAATGCAAGTCTGAGGGAACATTTATCTTGAAGATGATGCTGAGGCATGAGAATGGACGAGCTGTCCAAAGAATATAAGGTGGAAACCAAGAACTGAACCTTGGGGAGCTCCAGTGTTCTTTACTACCTTTGGTGGCCTGGCTGCAAAGCTCCTTGTTAATTCATAATGTGTTTTGTGTGACACTACCCTTTGGATAACATGAATAGACATTTACTTCCCACAGGTGGGCAGTTGATGACATGACTTGCAGGTACAGACAGATCAGAGAGTCTCCCTTCCTCAGTAGTTGTTACTTCTTATATAACCCTGTGGAGGGAAGGACCTTGTGAACCTGGTAAGTTTCAGGGATTTCATGAGACTTGTGTGTTGTTTATTTCCTGAGTGGTAAGGAGCATCCCTCAAGTAGAATGCTTCAGAATATTGCTACACAATGGTGTCTATCCCCATCTTATTCTTTCATCTGTGTTCCCCAAACTCTATGCTGAAGGATCTCTCTTAATTACACACTGACGGCCTGCAGATATTCACTAGAGAGTGTGGTAGTCTCTTCTGAATGTGTAGCTGAACCTGTACTACATTGATTAGCGATGGAAGGGGCTAATGTCTATAAAATATAAAACAATGTTTTATACAATATTTTATCAAATGTATAAAGTACTTAAGATTAACAAGAATTAAGGGCTTGGTGAAGTATAGTTTTGTTTTTTGTTTGTTTGGTTGGTTGGTTTTTGTTTTTCTCAGGTAGGGTTTCTCTCTGTAGCTCTGGCTGTCCTGGAACTCTCTCTGTAGACCAGGCTGGCCTCAAACTCAAAGATCCACCTGCTTCTGCCTCCCAGTTGCTAGGATGAAAGATCTGTGCCACCACTGCCAAGTGACGTATAATTCCTTAATAGAGTCACACACTAAGGATGAATCTTATAACAAAATTTGAGCAGAACAGGGAGAAGAGGGTGAAAAAAATCCAAATAGAAGAGAATAGAGTCAGAAGAGCTCAGACAGTTCCCTAAAGTTACAAAAGGTAAAAGGTACATGAAAGCCACCAACAGTTCCTACCCCCAAACAAAACAAGACAAAAAATGATTATAATCAAATCCCCATGAGAAAGGTCCAGGAAACCTAAGAGCACTTGCTGCTCCAGAAGATCTGGGTTCCATCTCCTGGACCCATGGTGAAGCATACGTGGCTGTAACTCCAGTTTCAAGGGATCTGGTGCCCTCTTCTGGTGCCCAAACTTACATGCATACACCCTCCCACAAAAACCCACATGTACACATAATTAAAATCAAAAATCTTGCCTGCCTTCACTGTCACCCCTGCAGCTGCCATGGAGGAGCTGCACCAGGAGAAACCCGAGCCGGAGCGTTACCCAGTGGCTGTGGCAAGGAGCATGACTTGGAATATTATCTATTGCAAATAATGTGGCAGTGGCTGCCAGCACCTGAGGGGCTGCTGGGCCACTTCTGAGGATCCAGAGAGACCACTGGAGGCTTCTCGGGGAGATGTAGCAGGGGGAAATGAGCCATCAGTGTGCAAAATACCTCAGGAAAAAGTAAAAGCAGGTCTTATTTGGAAAGATACTTTTAAAAAGTGGTTTCATGGGATTTGAAAAAAGATGGTAGAACAGAGCTGTGCTTGCAGCTTAGAAAAGAGGAACAAGAGATGTGTTGGTGGACAGGAGCATGTCATTGCTCAGTAGGGATGACGATGATATGATAATTTGATGATGACAATGATGATGGTCTCTCTTCTCGCCCAGCTTGGGGATGGGGAGAACCCAGAGTAAGGTCATGCCCATTATGCCTGTGGGGCTGCCAGCACTGTAGGCAGAGTAGTTTACAGCAGCTTGCACAAGTCTAACCCCCAGACACGCTTTCCAGCATGATCACCCTGACCCTGAGCAACAAGATACGGAGATGAAGAGTGCTCCACTTTCTGGATTAGTCTCCAGGAAAGACTTGCATGCCGTGCTGCAGCCAGAGGACGTGCTAATGTCAGCGGTCCATGCTGCCAACAGAAACCACTTTGACAACAGTGATCCATGCTGCTGCCAGCAACAATATGGATGTCCAGGAGCTGTGCTGCAGCCAAGCTATGTGGAAGTCCATGATCCATGCTGTTGCTGACTGCTGTGAGCAAGGAAGTTACTTTAGCTGTTATATCAATGACTGCAGACTCATAACTGAGAATTATAACATCCAAGGCTTCTGTGTCAATCTCCTACCAGTCCAGACAGACTGAAGAGAGTCTTTGGAAATTATGATAAAGATGCTGAAGTGTAGCTAC